TTCTTTTCATCCATCTTGGGGCAGCACCACCGGCGGCAGAGCAGCAGAAATCTGTTATTCATGTGTACAGAAAGTACTGAAAGGTTCAAAATGGTACAATATTATTATTGAGCGATAGGTAAAAGCTGGAACTTTGCAAGTTTGCATTGGGGTGGGAGGTTTGATAAGGCGAGATTTTCAGAACTTTTACAAAATTAATTTTAACTTTAATTTTACAAAAATTATTGAAATTTTATTGATCAAGCAATAAAATATCCTATTTTGGAACATTGCAAGGGGGTTACTTTTCCTGTTTATGGGCGATATTTGGTGAGATTTTCGGACTTGTATCAAGTATCTTGAAGTAGCATCCTTATTGAGACTTGCCTGATTACATTTTAAGGTATCGTGAAGCCGTAACCTTGAGTTTGCCTTGGTTCCTTATTAAAGTTTTTTAAAGTCAGATTCTTGCGCATACTCGTAGATCCTTGATCGAGTACTTTTTAAATTATATTACAGCCGCAGCCTTGGGCAGACTAGAATATCCTTCCTTCAGTCTATATTAAGGTCTCTCGCATTCGTATCTTCATATATCTTAGTACGTGTAAGGTATTTTACAGTAGTATCATTGTATGTCCTTTTAGAATCTGAGTTCTTATTACGGCCTCATGCAGCCATAACCTTGCTTGAGTCTCAATGTCTCAGTCGTAGCTTTGTCTTTTGTTTTCGATCATAATTTGAGTATTTGTTAGGATTTCTTGCCGCCGTAGCTTGTGTATTTTTCCTAATTAGAGCCTCTTGAAGTTGTAACCTTGGATACCTTCTTAATTCCTAGGTTTAGTACTTTCTGAGGACTCTTGCAGCCCTAGCCTTGAATATCCTTGTAGGCCCGTATTCTCGTGAGGACCAGAGGACTTATATGGCTGTCTATATATGAGCGCTTAACAAGGTGTGAAGTCAAAAGGACTACAAGGATCTAGGATACGTTTGCAAGAGACCTTAATAAATACTCAAGCACTACAAGGATCTAGTAAACTAGGACTAGAAGGATATTCTAGGGTACCACCGCTGTCCGAGGATTAGAGACCTAGATAAGTACTTCTAAGGAAGGATGTCACTTACCGAAGCTGGTGTTTTCACGTTCACGGTCTGGCACTGACTGTCACGATTCTGCCATCGAATGTCCTTTTATACCCGGCTCTACCACGTGTTCGCAGTTGAGTAACGAGAACTTGTTTACAAAATTTGGTTATCTCAACAACATCACATGTGCTCATCACCGCCAATGGTAGTGATGAGCGAACACTGATCTGTTGTTCTGATAACGGTTCACCTTTATTAAGTGTGGTTGCTCGCAAGAATTTGACTGGGCAAATTGCAAACTAATCATAGCATTTTGTGTGGGTAAAGATGACGAAGGATTTTTGCCGTCACAGTAGAAAAATTGAAAGTGGGTCCAATCTTTAATAATTTTACTAATATCCTCCTGGGTAAAGTTTAAACTGAAAGATTTTTTGGCGTAAACGGTAAAAATTTTTTATATTCCTTATTCCTTGAATAATATATTTAACATTGAAATTTTGAAAAAGGGTGCGATGAACATATAACATTTTGATTAAAAGTTTTTGTCAAAATAAAAAAAAAGTTGCTCATTTTTAGTACTAAATAGTCCTTACACCAACTGTTAGAACAAATCTAAAACTTTAAGGTAGAGAAATCTTTTGGAATAAATAATTCCAAATATTTTATCAGAAAAATTTAATGCAGTCCTAGAGATGCTGTATTGTGTGGCACAACACTGTGCAATTCTTCTCTCTATGTGTTGTTATCACTGAACATACCCAACATACAAATAATATATTATAATTTCCAAAGCATACTTTCAGGATGGACGAGTAATTTGTATATTCTTAGAGAAATTGAAATTTATTGATATTATTTACATTCTTAACTAAAAAAATGTTATTGTTTATATATGCATTAGTCAACAATATTTAGCAATTACAGCACTTTCATAAATTTACTAAATTAGATGACACTTAGGAGGGAAATAAGGTATTTTTGAAAGTACAGGGTGCCTGCCGCATATATGTTTTACAAAAACACAATCCCATATTTCTACATATGAATATAATCTTAATGATACACATTATTATGGGCGCCTCGAAATATGGTACACTATATAATACACAGACTAACAGAGAATGTTATAAGATTATTTTTATCCGGTTAAATTTAGATGTATACACAAATTAAAGTTTTTGATGCATTCAACTGTGTATACAGAAAATAACAATGAAAATATGGGCTTTTTGATAGAACTTTAAGTGGTTACTGAGGAATATAAGGGATATAAGGACTTTGACCATTTTTGGCGATTACACTAAGTGAAATTCCGCTATATTTCTCGGGATGTATAGAAAATCGCCAATCTTAATTATCATTTTGCTTGCACACAAATAACATATTTGCATTCATAAATTAAATGTGATAGCATTAAACAAGTGAACATTATGTTTGGCCGGGCCGAACTTTTAATTCCCTCCACCATTAGGTGAAGAAAACCATTAAAATTACAAATATCGGAAGTTTATGTTATATGGGGGCCATACCAAAACGTGGATCGATATGTCTCATTTTCGATACCAACCAACTGTGCCAAATTTTAAACCTCTACGAAATAGAATTTTTTGCCGATCATTAATATATATACACTTTGTGGGGTCAATGACGAACATTTAGAGGTGTTACAACCGGAATGACAAATTTAATATACCCTCTTTCCAAAAACGTAAAATATATAATTTTCACTTTATTATTTTCCCTACAACACTATTTGTTATACCCTCCACCATAAATAGTACGGAGGGTATATTAAGTTCGTCATTCCGTTTGTAACTCATGGAAATAATAATTTTAGCTCTGTCCGTCCGTCCGTCTCTTGTAATCACGCTACAGTCAAAACGAATTAAAATAGAAAGATACAATTTTGCACAGATCTGTCTTTTGTCTGCAGGCAGGTCAAATTCGAAGATTGTCTATATCGGTTCACGATATCGTATAGCCCCCATATAACGGTACCCCCGATATTCGGTATTTTGATGAAGAAAGCCACATTTTTCAATGGAATTGTCCGAAATTCTTCATATGGAGTTATTTGTGAGTACTTTACCCCTGACAGAGAATTGTCTATATAGGTCCACGATATTGTATATTCCCCATACAACGGTAGCCCCCGATATTTGGTATTTTGATGATTTTAGCCAAATTTTTTAACTGAATTGTCTAAAAATTCACGCAAGGAGTTCCTTGTACTTTATCCCCTGGAAGAGAATTATCTATATAGGTCCACGATATCGTATGGTCCCCATATAACGGTACCCCCGATATTCGGTATTTTTATGATTTCAGCCAAGTTTTTCAATGGAAATGTCCTTAAATCCACACAAGAGGTTTGGTATGGTATGGTATTTTCATGATTCTAGCGACATTATTAACCGGAATTATTTAAAATTTCGTATATTAAGTTCGGAACCGTTGCTATACCCCATGACACAAATTATGCAGGACCACGTCTGCGTATAGCCCCCATATAACGGTTTTCATTCGAGCGGTATTTTTCGACAGATTTTTTGAAAATTTTCAAGTTTCTTCTAAAAAATGGAGGGTATAAAAAGTTCGGCCCGGCCGAACTTAAGTGCTTTTTTACTTGTTAAGGGTATTATAATGAAACATTCAAAAGAATGAAACATTACGAAACATTGGTCCAAGATATAGAAAGTAACATATGGAACTTACTATTTCGCCGAACTGAGCCGCTCTAGCTATGCATATCCGTCTGTCCATGTTAATTTGTAATCACGCTACAGGTCGCAATTATGCCCCGATCCTCACGAAATTCAGCATGTAGATGGGGTGAAGGTCAGAATAGAAGACTATAGTTTTTGGAGATGATCGCAAGATATTTAGGTTGATATGGACCAAAAGATATTTAGGTTGATATGGACCGAAGATATTCCTGATTTTGACCTGATTTTTCCAAGTAAGGACTGTTACTTTGATGCTGATATCCAAGATATCGCACATATATATAGCTAAATATATACAATCTCATATATCATAGAAGTGTTTGGTTTAACGAACCTTATAACTCAGGAATGGCTGGACGGATTTCGACATTTCTCACCAATTCAGAATGCTCTTTTGGCGGAAAATACAAAATCCGGAAAAATCGCATAAAGAGTTCTTAGTAAAAATGTGAATATTTTTCTATAATATTTTGTGATACCTTTTACTTATTTTTTGAAACCCGTCGGAAGTGCCAAAATTTAGTCCATTAGGGCTGATATTAGTCATTTGGTGCACAATAAACTCGCAATCGGATAAAGATATATATGTGACCTATATTCAAATCTTGATCCGATCCTGACAAAATTTTGACGGTGGTATTTCCGGGCTGTATCAGACATCTGGTACCAAAGATCATTGTTGTGGAGTGCATATTATGCATTTTAGGGACACAAAAAACAAAATCTGATGAAACATACAGATGGAATGTGCCAAAATTTAGGTCATTTGGACAGATATAGGCCATTTGGTGTACAATTAACCCGAAATATATATGGGAGCTATATGTAAATTTAAACCCATTCTCACAAATTTCAATATGGTTCGTCCTTGGGCCTAACAAATAGTGATGGAAAAGTTACATCTGAATCGAGTAATAGATGCGAACTGCATTTAATTAAGTTACTTTTCGATGTTAACATTCAAAACGCCGTAGACGTCTGTAATTAATTTTTATGTTGCCCGGTTTAGTATAAAGTGACATTCGAGGCCCTCGAGTAAATTTTCCAAGTTCCATATTTTTTTTTCCAGAGAATAGGACATTTACAGGACATTTAAGCAAAAACTTTATATTTTCAAATCTATTGTATTATCCTTTATTTCGATGATTTAAAAAATAAATCTCGTACTATTGCAAAATGTTCGATTCTTCCGCAAAAAGTAGAAGTCATAATAATTGAGCTATATGGCATTGTTACAATTGTATCTATTGCTTAGGTGATAACTATTTTATTTTAAATAGTCTCACAGTCTAGAAACGGCGGTGACGACGGATGACACGACGACGGTTGGTCTTGTATTTGTAACCTTCAGCCGAGGAGAAGGTGTGGGCTGGCTCAGAGGCACCAGTTTCATAGGATTCAGAGTAAGAAGCAGCTGGGGCAGAGTAGGAAGCAGCTGGGGCAGAGTAAGAAGCGGCAACTGGAGCGGAGTAAGAAGCAGCAGCTGGAGCAGAGTATGAAGCAACTGGAGCGGAAGCAGCTGGGGCAGAGTAAGCGTATTCACCAGCTGGGGCAGAAGCAGCACCTTGAACGGGAGGCAAGTATTCAGCACTGACATCACGACGATGACGGCGACGGTAGACAACACGACGGTTGGTCTTGTATTTGTAACCTTCAGACGAGGAGAAGGTGTGGGCAGGCTCAGAGGCACCAGTTTCATAGGATTCAGAGTAAGAAGCAGCGGGAGCTGCGGCTGCTGGAGCAGAGTAGGAAGCGGCAGCAGCAGGAGCAGAGTAGGAAGCGGTAGCAGCAGGAGCGGAGTAAGAAGCGGCAGCTGGAGCAGAGTAAGAAGCAGCAGCTGGAGCAGAGTAGGAAACAGCGGCAGCTGGGGCAGAGTAAGAAGCAGCTGGAGCCGAGGCTTGGACTGAGTAAGAAGCAGCAGGAGCAGCTGGGGCAGAGTATGAAGCTTGAGCTGAGTAAGAAGCAGCAGGTGCCGAGTACGAAGCTACAGGAGTAGAGGCAGCAACAGCTGGAGCCGAGTAGGATGGAGCTGGTGCCGAAGCGTGAGATTCATGGGGTGGCAAGTATGAGCTGCTGAGGTGGCTGACATCGGCTGTAGCCACAGCGACCAAGGCGAAGAGGGCAACAAAAAGTTTCTGAAAAAAATCAAAAATTTCAAAATTAGAATTTAACACTTCAACACATAATAATAATAATAATTTTATTTAATTGTTTTTATTAACTTTCTACTAACCATTTTGAGTGGGGTTATCTCTTATCCGCTTTAGAAACCAAGAGAAAATGATACTCTATTCGATGAAAAGGGTGCACTTATATACCCAAAAAAGAAACGGTGGCCAGATTTTAATTTGTTAATTCTAAATTTAATTTACTCATAATTAGTTATGATTTGGCATGTGTGCACTACGTTTCGTTTCGTTTAATTATTATTTTTTGTTTAATTTTATGCAGTCTACAGGTTTTCTGTTTCCTTTCTATTGCAACCTGAAGGAAGTAGAATAAATGAGTCTCTCAAAAAGCTTGTTTCAAACCCTGCCCTGCTTGCATTGTTATTGCTGTAGATCAGCATAAAAATAGCCACATAGCCGGTCAGTTTTCCAAATCAATGCAATTTTTCAAAAAAAAAAAGAAGAAGAAGTCACGAACGAAATGAATAGCGGTTTTTGTTATTTATTTATGGTTTGTTTCCTTTCTATTTTAAGAAAAAAAATTATACAACACTATTTTGAAGTGTTGTTCGGTTTTCTTTTTATGCAAAGTTTATTGATACATGATTCATCACATTGAATTGTTTATGTGGAGATATTGAAAAAAAGAATGGAAAGTGAATCAAACACATCCATGGAGTTCAATATATCTTGGCCAATTGATTGAGAAGAGTGTTTCGTTGTGGTACACAGTTTAAAATAACCCTTGGAGACAACAACCATAAAAAATCATACATAGCTCTATAATATATAATCAAGCGACTCCAAGCGGTCCTAAAAAGAAACCCTGGGAACCATATAAAAATAGATCTAGAGGCTAAGGCCTCCTCTCGTATCTTAGAACATAAAATCGCAGTTTTCAATCAATTAATGACGAATAATAAAATCAACTTTACATAGTTTTGGAAATGGTGTTTTGATGGAAGCAAAGGTTATAGAGAGTATAAGGTGAAGACCATGAGAATAGTTTGTGACATCATAAGCGCCTTAAAATTGTTTTCATCAGTGACAGATATATGAGAATCCACAGTAATTTCTTAAAAATCAGCTTCATTTATCAACTCTGTATTGCAAAATAATTCGGTTGCAGTTTTCTGAAGAAAAAAAATGCTTCACCCGAAAGAAAAATGTTTTTGTTTCTAAATAAAATTAAACAAGTAAGCAAAGGCAATAGACGTGCGGGGCCGACCATGTGATACCCTACAACACTACAATATGTTAGGGTGATTCCCTTATGTCCAAGTCCATTTTGGAAGATTTCGCTTTTGAAATTTTGTCATGGAGTACTGCCCAGATATTGCCCTTACCATTTTGACCAGGGACATTTGCGCACTCCGTCGTGCTGTTAGTTTTTGTGGTCCATTTTACAGCTAAATATAATCCAATGGTCATCCAAAAAGCTAGAATTCTTCCCTATCCTTAACTCTCTTCTCAGGCATGTCGATTGGCTTCAATTGTGTGATCAGTAGTTTTTATCTGTTTCGGTTCATTTGAGCCCCTTAATATTTTGCGATCATCTCCATCTACAAATTTAGACCCATCAATATGATTTGCTTGTCTACGATATTTGGCTATATTCATCAACGAAATCAGCATAAAAAAGCCAGAAGTTCGCCTTTTGTGTATTTCGGATATCGCCTGTAAGTAATGTTGGTATTTTTTTCACACAAAAACAGTGGTCCATTCTACCTGTTGTACTTTGGTTTCTATTTGCGACCTTAAAACTGCTGCAAAATCGGGAACATTTTTAGTGGTTGGTCCATTTCAACCCCTAAATATATTGCGGTCATCTTTGAAAACAATTGCTCTTCTGAGCCTAACCCTACCCTTGTGAAAATTTTCGTGAAGATCGGACGATAATTCCAATCTGTATATAATAACCCCAACCCGTGTTGTAAGGTGAAAAAATTTTACAAAATGTACATTTCAATATTATAAGTCAAATTGAAAAAATCGCATGCGATAAAAAATATGAAAAAATAAAAAAAATGCCACAAAACGCTACAAAATCTATAATAACACCATTATTGGCAAATTTTTAAGCGATTTTTTTTGATTTCATTCTCTTATGCCATTCTGAATTGACAATATTTGTCAAAATCGGTCCAGCCATTCTTGAGATATAAGCATTCTAACTAACATCCCCTTCCTTTGTATATACACATTGTATATATTTCGCTATATATAACCGATATATTTACTATCGGCATCTACGTAACGGTCAGGATTGACCTGTTCGTCTTTTTGCGATTTCGCCGGGATTAAAAATATTCGCGGTTTAATGAAAAATTTGATTTTATTTAACACAAGTGTCATGACCTTTTCACCCACTAAATATTACCCGATTACCATCAAAATTGGAAGACTTCTGCCCAGCCTTAAGCTCTAGCCATATGCTAACTTCCGAGTCAATTGGTCTATAACTGCGACCTGTAGAGCAACTGCAAAATAAAGATTTTTTACTGTATTTGGCCCATTTCAACAACTAAATATTATGCGATCATCTCCAAAAGAAATAGGATTCTATTCTGGCCCAAACCCCACCTCCATTCTAAATTTCGTGAAGATCGAACTATAATTGCGACCTGTAGAGTGATTACAAATTAACATGGACAAACAGACAGACGGACGGACGGACATACATAGCTAGATCGACTCAGTTCGGCGAGATAGGAAGATCCATATATACTTTCCTATGTGGGAAACCAATATTTCGAGGTGTTACATAATTGTTGGCCCAATCAAACTTGTAATACCCCCAATACATAGTGTTGTAGGGTATACTTATATGTACATATGTAAAGCAACGTTCGCTAATAATAAGAGGGAGAATTCAAAGGCTGTAGTATCGATTACGAACTTTAAATAACACATCTGAAACAATTTCGGCGAATAATGTCGCTAAAATCATCAAAATATCGAATATCGGGAGGTACCAATATATGGAGGCTATACCAAAAAGTGGACCTTAATGGCCCATTTTCAATACCAAAAGTCCTGCAGACATAATATACATTTCAGTAAAATTTTATTAACCTACTTCATTACGTTCGGAAGCTAAAGTGATTTCCGCAGACGGACAGACGGACGGGCATCGCTAAATCGACATAGAATTTTATGCTGATCACGCACTTATATACTTTGTGGGGTCTAAAATGTACATTTCGAGGTGTTACAAACGGAAACTCCATAATATTGCGGAGGTTATAAAAACAAGTTAAAAGTATACGTCGTTTTTTCCGGCAGATGTATACCCTCAGCCAATGTTCGATTATTTAAATGTATTTTGATTTCTGTTATGATTATACAAATTTTCGACAAATTTTCGGAGTAAGTTCCGAAGGAATGGGCCAATATTGTCAATTTCGTATCGGACATAAAAAATATGATATAAATATTGAAATTACCTTCACTTTATATCAGATATGTGATCATTTGTAGATAATGTTAAAATGTGTGTGAGGTGCCAGATATAATGAACCGAAGTATTTCATTTTCATACTTCATCTAAACAGATAAAACTCTTTCTTTGAGCGTTTTGTTTTTCAAAATCTTGAATCCTATGTGGGGGAGGTATCAGAAGAAATGGTTCGATCTTCAACATTTTTATAACAGAACTTTTGTTGATGGAAATATTGAGATGTGCCAAGTTCGAATGGAATTGGATGTTAATTTCGCGTTTTATGGCTTTCGTGGATAATCAAAATGTTGACCCTTTGTGGGGAAGGTATCAGATGGAGTGGATCGATATATCCTATCGATTGAGAGAAATATTGGGATCTGTGAAATTTGAAGGGAATTGGATGCTTACTTCGCATTTATAATTCTTTTGGTCGTTCCAAATTGTGACCTTTTGTGGGGGAGGTATCATAAGGGGTTCGCAGTTATATATCATATTCACAACAGACCTTGTGTTAGCAAAAATATTTGTATGTGTGAAATTTGCAAGCATTTTGAGTATTTTGTTTTTCAAAATCTTGAACCCTATGTTAACCCTTAATTTCGCGTTTTACGAGCTTCACGTATATTTAAAATGTTAATTCTTTGTGGGGGAGGTACCTGAAGAAGTCATCCGATATATTCCGTTGTTACACCAAACCTTGGGTTAATAAAAATGATGTGATGTGAGTAATTTGAAGATAATTGGACCGACATTATTCATTTTTGCACCTGTCGTAACACTGATGGAAATATTATTATTTGCAAAGTTTGAGTAAAATCGGATTATTCTTTCTTTTTCTGTGCAGTAAAATATTTTTTTTTTTTTTTTTTTTTTGAAATTTTCGACCTTTTGTGGAGGAACTACCAGAAGGAGTGCATCGATATTGCCCAACTTCGAACTCAATCTAAGTTTGATAATAATATTACGATGTACCAAGTTTGAACCAAATCGGATACTATCTTCGAGAGTTATCGTGCGCATCAGCCAGCCAGATAGACGGACGGACATCGCTAGATCTATTTGGTCCAAAGATACCTAGGGTCTAAAACCTTTATTTCGATGAGCCAGCCAGATAGACGGACGGACATCGCTAGATCGAAATGTCCTGAAACGGATTTGGTCCAAAGATACCTAGGGTCGAAAACCGTTATTTCGATGAGGCACGTTCTGGCCGTATCAAATGATATATACCCTTTCTTTTGCTAGCAATGTTGTCCAAAGAATTATCTACCTGAAATGCATGGATTACTCCCGATGTAATCTTCTAAAACAACCGCACAACCGTAGTTCATACAATTTTTTTGAGCAATTTTTTTTATAAAAATTCCGATTTTTCCAACAATTTGGAAAAATTGGATTTTGTCGCACCAGCCAAGTTCGAAGATGAGCTATATTGGTCAACGTCTTCGGAAGAATTCATATAATTTTATCTTCCCGTATTTTGACAATTTTACGCCATATTTGGTATTCTGACGATATTAGACACACATTCGAAAGGTATACATAGTTTCAAATTCAGTATTTAAAGTTTATAATGGGTTCTACCCCCCTATAGCAGTCTACTGTTGTCCTTAGCCACCATATAATTGGACCTACCCATATTCGGTATTTTAAGGATAAAACCATCAGTTGAAGTTCATAATAAGTTCTGCCTACTGTGGCAGAAGACTTACACCTGATATTCGGAATTTTGAGGATTTTAGACCCATTTTCATAATAGATTATATTTCCTGTGACGTAAAGTGGTCTATATATGTCCACTTTTTCTTATATCCCCTATATAAAGGTACATTCCCAATATTCGGCATTTGATCATTCTACCCTCAGTTTCTAACGTATTGGAAAAAAAAATTCAGTAGTTCCAGCTCATAAGGAGTTCTATCTACTGTGGCAGAACAATTTTTCTCTCGCCGATTTTAGCCACATTTTCCAACGAAATTACATAAAATTCGGTATTTGAATTTCGCAAAGGGTTGAATTTTTGATTGTATGTTTTTAGAGACAGAAGTGACGTATACCACTCGAATACTGGAGTTTCGGCAGGCACAGATATAATTTATTTTCTAACTCGTTTCAAAGGTTCTCAAAGGGTTTCAGTATTTTTTTTTTAAATTGTGTTTGACCTTCTTTTAAAGAATTTTGCCAATTAGGTCCATCAACAAAATTCCTACCGATTAATTTAAAAATTACAATAAAACAACTATTTTTTTAATTAAATTTTTTCTTTATTAGATTTCAAGGCTTTCAGCTAGCTAAACAATTTTTTTCGGAAAAGAATTCTTCCCATTCCCAGCTTAGAAACGACGATGACGACGAATGACACGACGACGGTTGGTCTTGTAACGATAACCATCGGCCGATGAGAAGGAGTGAGCTGGAGCCGAAGCACCAGTGTCATAAGATTCGGAATAGGTAGCAGCTGGGGCAGAGTATGAAGCAGCTGGGGCAGCAGCGAATGATGGAGCTGGAGCAGAAGCAGCTGGTGGCAAGTATTCACTGGATGGAGCAGAACCAGCACCTTGGAAGGGTGGCAAGTATTCGGTGCTTACATCACGGCGATGACGGCGACGATAGACGCGACGACGGTTGGTCTTGTATTTGTAACCTTCGGCGGAGGAGAAGGTGTGGGCAGGAGCAGAAGCACCGGTGTCATAAGATTCGCTGTAGGTTGCGGCAGGGGCCGAGTAGGAGGTGGCTGCTGGGGCGGAGTAGGAGGCGACTGCTGGGGCGGAGTAGGAAGCGGCAGCAGCTGGAGCAGAGTAAGAAGCAACAGCTGGTGCAGAGTACGAAGCAGCGGGGGCAGAATACGAAGCAGCTGGGGCCGAGTATGAAGCGGAAACAGCAGGAGCACTATAGGAAGCTACAGGAGCTGAGGCATGACCTTCATGAGGTGGCAAGTATTCGCTGCTCAAATGGCTGACATCAGCAGTTGCCACGGCCACCAGGGCGCACAAAGCAATAAAGATTTTCTAAAAAAGAGACCACAAAAGTTAATTAATTTAATAGTCTAAGGGTGACTTTCAAAGCCCGCTCACTCGCGGTATTACTAACCATTGTTGGAACGTTTATCTCCTATCGCCGGAAGAATCCAAGAGAAAATGATACTTGTACTGGCCAAATTACCAGCCTTTTATAGTCACAACAAATTACCCGGGATTCGGGACATTTGCATAAATTCTGCATGCAAGACAATCATAATTATTTATGGACTTTTATAATTTAAAACCCTCGACGGGTTTTCTGTTTTTTTTTTTTGGTTGACGAAATCCAGTCTTGTGGGAGCTCAGCAACAAAGCCTTTTGCTCCTCTGCCCGCCCAGCAGGTTTGCCGCTACTTAAGCTAGAATAGCTTTAATAACATTAGAAACTGAATCTGACGCTAAGGCTGAGACAAATGACCAGGGCAATTAATTTTGTTTTGTTTTGATTGGAGAAGCGTAAAAAGTACCACAAGAAAGGCAGAAGAAAAAGATAAAGAAAAGAAAATACGGTTTTTTTTTATATTTTGTTGGTTTTACGTTTTATTGTGTGTTTCTCATAGTTTCAAGTCAATGGATTTTGGCTAAAGAACGCGTCTGAGAATGTAAAGTCTTATCAAATAATGCTATGGATGTTCGCGCCCCCAGTAAAAATCTGGGGATATTTTTCAAGATCTGAAAAAGATGCTAGAGTGATGTTCTTTAGTGGCGACGGTAGACAACGCGACGGTGGGTCTTGTAGCGGTAACCATCATCGGCCAATTCATGGGCGGGGGCAGCTTCTTGGGCAACAACAGACACTTGTTCTACGGGGGCAGGTTCGTAGACAGGGGCGGCTTCTTGTTGGACAGGAGGCAAGTATTCGTTGGAGGGCAAGTGGCTGACATCACGACGGTTGCGGCGGTAGACAACGCGACGGTGGGTCTTGTAACGGTAACCATCGGCAGCTACTTCATGAGCGGGTTCAGCATCAGCTTGAACGGGGGGCAAGTATTCGTTGGTGGGAGCAGCAACGGGGGCGGCTTCTTGTTGGGGAGGCAAGTATTCGTTGGAGGGCAAGTGGCTGACATCACGACGGTTGCGGCGGTAGACAACACGACGGTGGGTCTTGTAACGGTAACCATCATCGGCCAATTCATGGGCGGGGACAGCTTCTTGAGCAACAACAGAAACTTGTTCTACGGGGGCAGGTTCGTAGACAGGGGCGGCTTCTTGTTGGACAGGGGGCAAGTATTCGTTGGAGGGCAAGTGGCTGACATCACGACGGTTGCGACGGTAGACAACACGACGGTGGGTCTTGTAACGGTAACCATCATCGGCCAATTCATGGGCGGGCTCGGGTTCTTGAACGGCAACAGGAACTTGTTCTACGGGAGCAGGTTCGTAAACTGGGGTGGCTTCTTGTTGGGGAGGCAAGTATTCGTTGGAGGGCAAGTGGCTGACATCACGACGGTTGCGACGGTAGACAACGCGACGGTGGGTCTTGTAACGGTAACCATCGGCAGCTACTTCATGAGCGGGTTCAGCATCAGCTTGGACAGGGGGCAAGTATTCGTTGGTGGGAGCGGCAACGGGGGCGGCTTCTTGTTGGGGAGGCAAGTATTCGTTGGAGGGCAAGTGGCTGACATCACGACGGTTGCGACGGTAGACAACACGACGGTGAGTCTTGTAACGGTAACCATCATCGGCCAATTCATGGGCGGGGGCAGCTTCTTGGGCAACAACAGAAACTTGTTCTACGGGGGCAGGTTCGTAGACAGGGGCGGCTTCTTGTTGGACAGGCGGCAAGTATTCGTTGGAGGGCAAGTGGCTGACATCACGACGGTTTGCGACGATAGACAACGCGACGGTGGGTCTTGTAACGGTAACCATCATCGGCCAATTCATGGGCGGGGGCAGCTTCTTGGGCAACAACAGACACTTGTTCTACGGGAGCAGGTTCGTAGACAGGGGCGGCTTCTTGTTGGACAGGAGGCAAGTATTCGTTGGAAGGCAAGTGGCTGACATCACGACGATGACGACGGTAGACAACGCGACGGTGGGTCTTGTAACGGTAGCCATCATCGGCCAATTCGTGAGCGGGGGCGGCTTCAACAACTGGGACCTCTTGTTGTTGTTGTTGAACAGGGGGCAAGTATTCGTTGCTGGGCTGAGGGGCTACAGGGGCCACAGAAACTTGCTGGGGTGGCAAGTATTCGTTGGAGGGCAAATGGCTGACGTCAGCAGCGACAGCTGCAATCACAGCAAAGGCAATGAGGAACAATTTCTATAACGAAATCAAAAAAAGGACACGACCACGTTAGCAAACCTCTAGGCATATAATCCAGGCCAAAAAAAGCAAAACCTACCATTTTTGTTTCTTTTTCTTTTCTCTTTTCCTTAGTAATCCGAACTTACTAATCCACTGACTTTACACACTGCAGGCAGAACTAGCTATGCTTACAGTAGTAACTCTAAGAGTAGAATGTTGTAGTCACAGAACTATTTCTTACTATTTATACACAAATCGGAGTAAAACTGAGAGCGTCTGAGCATCGCCAATCGAACCAAAGTTTGGTAATTTGTAATTCTTATTTTGCGGATCGAAAAAACAAAAGATGGCCAAAAACGCACACACACACGCACACACATGTGAGAATAGATAGTTGGCTCTTCGCATGGAAACTATTGTGTAGAGTAATCGGTGGATAGATCGGCCATAGACAGAATTGCCAAAAAAACGTAAAAAAAACAAAACAAACAACAATATTGGTAACATCCAAACAAAGAGTTATACCGCCAACCGAAAGATCAGCAAAGATACGCACTCACACACACGCACGCATATGCTCAAGAGCTCAGGCCAAGCTAGACGGCGGCGTCAACATCGGCTGGCTGTAAAAGTTCGCATCACCAGCCACAAAAAAGAAGGGTTAAAAGAAAGAAAATAGAAATCTAATGAAGGCAAGAACAAAAAAAAAAAAACACAACATCATCGCCTCTAGAACCATAAACTTAATAATGATCGTCATCATATGGCGATGATGATGATGTTGTAGTTGGGCAAAAATCATTTAAGATGTATTATATCTTTTGGGAACACACACCAAAAATTAAAAAAAAAAAAAAACTATAATTTGTTTAATCTTTGAAATTGTTGTAGCTATATTTAGAGGGCGATAATTTTTATTCGATTGTATCGTTTTTTTTTTTTTCTTTTAATTTATTCACTTTTAAGTGGCTTGATTTTAGAGCCATTGGATGATTCAAATTTGCCAGGCAGATTGGGCCTCTGTAATATTTAGTTTTATGATCAATATTCATTTGTAACAAAACGATCGATGTTGTTTGGTGTGGCTGCTGAAGATTGTCTTCCTCATGTTGCGAAAATAAATTAAAAAAATTAATTTTTTTTTCATGTGGTGCACAGTGGTTTTCTATTATTGCAAAGGATTAAAAACATAATAATCAAAAATTTGAATTAAAATTTGCGAAATTTCCCAAAATAAAAAAAAAATGGATGATAAAAGAAATTTGAAAACAATGCCGTTGGAAACAAAGAAACTGATAGAACTTAATAATAATAAATTTAAAAAAAAAAGAAAAAAAATGGGACCAATCTCATAAATATGGATTAAATAAATTATTTAGATTCGAAAAATATCAGAGATCAAAAAAAAAAAAAAAAAACAAAAAACTAAAACGTGTGACCTGGTTACAAAATTCTGGCACAACATGTAATGTGAACTTGTAAAAATATTGAAATTTTTTCAATATTTCAAAATGGGAAATGAAGTGTTAACAGTTTCGAATTTTTTGGGAACTTCATTTTAATGGCGGACGGGAATTTAAACGTTCATACCGTGCAACAAAATTTACCTCTGGTATTGGTTTCTCACTAAGGAATGAGAAGAAAAATTAAATATTTGGAGTCGATAGTAGTGTATCGAAAAAAAACAGTATATTCGGCCTATCCGCTATTCGGATACACTTCACCAAAATTTCAAAAAAATAAAATTATGTTAAAATCTTAAAAATACCGAATATCGGAAGGTGCCGTTATATGGGGGATATACGATATTGTGGACCTATATAGACAAATCTATCTCTGGGGGTGAAGTACTCACAATGAACTCCTTGTGTAGAATTTCAGACAATTCCGTTGAAAAATGTGGCTAAAATCATCAAAATACCGAAACATCAAATGCGAAAATTCTCTTTCAGGGGGTAAAGTACTCACAAAAAACTTCTTGTGTGGAATTTCAAATAATTCCATACTATATATGGTGAAGGGCATTTAAATATGGTCATATTAATAACAGCATTAGGTTGGATGCCATTGCAACAAAACCAATTCATGGACGGGGACAGTTTTTTTTTTTTTTTTTTTTTTTTTTGCAGCAATGGCATCTTTGTCTACAGTGGCATATTCGTAAACTGGCCTCTTGTTGGACAGCGGGCAAGAATTCGTTGGAAGGCAAGTGGCTGGCATCAAGACGTTCTTTTAACGGTAACCATCATTGGTCAATACATGGACGGGCTCGAGTTATTGAGTGGCAACAGCAACTTATTCCATGGGGGCAAATCAAAAACGGCTCCACTCCTTTCTAAATACCCCAAAAAATATTTAACATCAGTATCAGACTTTTTTCAAACTTCGCTTAAACTTTAAATAACTTGCAGATTTTTTAAAAGATTTTTTTTTTTACTTTTTACCAGGCCTTTCTGGTTAATTCCCAGACAAAAAACAAGGGAACTGATGAGGATTGGTGGCTCTTTCCGAAACCTAGGTATACCCGGCCTTACCCCCTGGTAAACATTACCATCGTTTTCCACTAATAAACAAACGTTGTTTTTATAAAAATAACAATTAAAGGATTAAGCATGACCATTTTGCAACAACAAAATACTGTGGTATCCCGAACAATTTTTTTTTATATTTTTTGGTTAGAAAATATTTGATTTTTAAAATTATCTGTCAATTTTTAATCGTGGATTTTTAAAAATAAATTTTTCCTGCTATATATAAATCAAACATTTATAATTTTTTTTTTCTGAATTTTTCCTTCTATATATGAATAGTAGATTTATAGAAGTATTTTTTCCTGCTATATATAAATTGTGGATTTTTTGCTGCTATGTATAAATAGTGTATTCTCTTGAAATATTTTTTTCCTGCTAGATCGTGGATTTTAAAAAATAATTTTTCCAGCAATATATAACTTGTGGATTTTTTAAATTATTTTTTTTGCTATATATAAATCGTGGATTTTTTAAATTAATTATTTCCTGTTATATATAAATTGTGGATTTTTAAAAATATTTTGTTTTCTATATATGCAGCATATTTTTAATCTTCTTTTTCCTGCTATATATAAATTGCGGATTTTTCAAAATATTTTTTCTTGTTATATAAAAAATCGTGGATTTGTAATAATTTTTTTCTGCTATATATAAATTGTGATTTTTTACCATCTATATATAAATGATGTATTTTTTGAAAAATAATAATTTTCAAATAAAAACAATTTTTTCTGTGGATTTTTAAAAATAATTCTGTGATTTTTAAAAAAATATTTTTCTCGTTATAAAATATTGGATTAATTTGATTTCAATTGAATTTCTAAAAATATTTGTTCATATTATATATAATGTATATTTATTGTTTAATATATTTTTTCAGGTCGTGGATTTTTTTAAGATATTTGTCCGTGGGTATAAAATATTTTTCTGACTATAAGATGGTGGATTATAGGAAAATATTTGTAAATTTAAAAAAATATATTTTTTCGGCTAGATATAAATTGTAGATTTTTATAAATATTAGGTAATTTAAAAAAATATCCAACTCAAATAAACTTGTGAATTTCTACATTATTTTTTGGGAATAAAACTGTATTATTTAAAATGGTTGCCAACTTTAAAAAATTGTTTTCCAGCTAAATATGAATATCGTGGATTTTTTTAAATTATTTATCCGACTAGATAAAAATCTTAGATTTTAAAAAAATATTTGTCAATTTTTAAAGTTTTTTATTACGTTATATAAATCTTGGCTTTTTAAAAATATTTGTCAGGCTATGTATAAAACTTGGATTTTTAGAAATGTTTGTTAATTTTTAAACGTATATTTTTAGCTATTTTTAAAAGCATGGTATTCTTTTTAATATTTCTGTTGCCATAAAATCTATAGTCGTCCCCACAAAGAGGATCGGGTTTTATTTACTCGTTTATATGATTTCATATTTTGGGTATAATAGTTGGACTTTATTAGGGCCTAATCTACTTCTCTAACCTACTCAACAGAGAGTTTCGAAAAACGGGGTATTTACAAAAAAAAAGAAAAAAATATATTAAATCCAAATAAATTGAAAACTATAGGATGATTCTAATTCATCTATCTAATATCATCTTCGATTTAATCCACAATGTAGCTTATGTGAAGGATTCAACATTTCATATAGGGACGGTACCGAAGAAGTGACACCCTTCACTGAAAGATTCTGTAGATAACAAATTATCAATTAACTAAACCCTCAAGGTATTGGATACATTTTCCACAAAGCTCACTGACTATTGGATAGTGCATTTATAAAACAACTTATATTTTATTATAAAAATATTAAGTATACACATGTTCTTTATTTAGTGAAATTTAATTTAGAAGATACTTTTCTTTAATACTTTCTCCGAAAAATTCAGTTTTAAAGGAGATTTTGACTCAGAATGGAAATGTTTTAATTTAGCAGTAAGAAGATCATTTTGACTTAAAATATATACCTTTGAATATAATTTTCACAAAACCCCAATTAATTTAGATATATGATTTAGTATGAGATTTATAGTAAAATTTTGACTTAAAACGAAACTTTATGCCACTTTTCAAGCATCAACTCTAAAAAAGCCCGAGGAAAAATTTATCAAAATATTAGAAAACAAATTTCGGTGTATTATTTTAGCAATATTGTTGCATATGTTTTCTTAATATGTAATAAAAATATAAATATCTTTTCTTTGGGGTCTTATAGTGAAATTTGATGAAGGATAATTTTGGCTCTGACGCCATCTTTCTGAAATGCCGATTTTGTAGAAAAATATGACATATACTCATAAAGTACGTCTTTAATCTATTTTTTTAGTATTTATAAATTCCTGGCATATAGATTAGTTTGCACCTTTGATGCATTCTGGGAGCTTTGCTAACATTTTAAGGCAAATAATTTTGTAGGGTCTAGGATTGACATTCCGAGGTGTAACAAATTTTATACCAATCAAACCCTCAACACT